GGAAACAATAATTATTCAGTGGAACACGCGAGGTCTGATTTTCATCCCCAATTACTGACCTGGTGAAAGAGCCTGATTGATTCCGGGTGACGCGTTTAATTATGCGATTGTAGGGCTGATCTTGTACAGGGTGGATCAGTGAAATCTGCCTTTTAGCTGTACGTCTTTATTTGTCGTAGCAATAGTAAAATAAACCCTAGTTAAGTAAAGTAAAAGCAAAATCGAAATGTCGATCACGAGTCAGACTCGTGATATCCACGTTTGACCCGAACTGTCGATCACGAGTCAGACTCGTGATATCCACGTATGGTATAAAATTAAACAACGAGCCTGACACGTGATATTCAAGTTTGGCCTAAAGTTTTCACCACGAGTCAGGCTCGTGAAAATAGCGCAAGGGGTTAAGAGTAGCCCGCATCGCAGCAACATTGTCGTAAACGGGCCTTACAACCCCGCGATACTCCCACTGTGCAAGTTGCAACGTTTGAGACGCAACAATGTGTATATTTCTAATATTTTTACATTGTATATCCTACGTTTATATTTTAGCGCTTATTCCATTAAATTCCTTTTAAAAGTCCATCTGAAAATCCTATTTAACTTGAACAAGAAGAGCGTCACTCATATTTGGGTGACGGAGCCTCCACAGAAGTGTGGGTTTGCTGTTTAACAATTATATATTCATTACAAATTGTAATATACACACGTCCCAAAAAGATTACAACGATTAGGTATGTGTGGTGAAATTTCTCTTAATACTAGGCCATTCGGTGGCACCACGTTGGTGTCATGCGAAAACTATCGGGCAAATGGCGGTGACACCACGTTGGTTTCGTGGGCAAATAGTGAGTCAGTTGTACCAGCGTCAAACAAAACAATCCTAATTAGACGTGCAGACGGCATAGTGTTAACCTTTGCACTCGGCGATTTTCTCGTTATAGAAAAATAGCAATTCGAAGACTTCCTGCCATAAGGTTGACGATATTTCTAAAACGGTAGATAAGAAATCGTATGCAATTTAAGACGTAAAATTATTTTCCTAGAACCTCAAACAATAAAAGGAATCAAAAAATCAAATTTCGATTCTCTTCTACTCGTCACCCCTTAAATTTTACTGTAAATACGACAATTTGTTGACAAGTGTCACGACTATTTACAGCCAGATACACGTCACTAGTCCAGGGTTAAAGACTATTTCTCCGTGTCAACTTTTTCATCTGCCAGCCATATCTCGGGACAGTGGCGCAGCAAGGCTCTTGGTATGCATAAAATCGTCGCAATTTCACGAGCATTTAATCGCGGCGGAGGCTAGGGGTGGGAAAGGATGGTCGG